CACTTTATTATCTCTTTAACAACAAAACTGGCCCATGTGTGATAACGTTCTCTGTTATGTTTAACATTGCCAGATTCACTGTGAAAGCAGCTAAATTGAGGAGATTATAGCACATCTTAAAAATCCATTTTACCTCTCCCGAACTGAATTCTACTTTGGGCTGTATCTGGGTCCTATCGCATGGCTTTTGTTGCCAAATCTTTTGTTTGTTGCCAAATCTCATTCTTGCCATTCATACAGACTTCCTACCTATATTTGTCCTATATGTGATTATATTGACTTTTGTATACTTTCCTTTTTCATAGTGAACATTCTCTTCTATTAGTTTTTATATAATAATTGTTGCCAAAACTCCCCATCTTTTTTCCAAGAATTTTATTATTTTCCCCCGCTCCTTATTGAATTGTTCTTTGGTTTATCTCTTAATAATTGCATTAGTTTGTCTATCTCCAATATGTCATATATTTTATAAAGCCACTCCTTTATAAAATATAGTAGTTGGAACTTCCTTATTTTTCTATTTCTGGGCAACCAATATCCTTGCTAATGAAATCAAATGAAATAAAATTTTCCCATATTTCTTTTCCAAGCTTTCCTCCATTATTCCCAACAAGTAAAGTTCTGATTTTAAACATAGCTTCAAATCTAATATTTCATTTAGCATATTATTAATCATATCTCAATATTTTCTTGCCTTTTTACACCCCCACCAACAATGGAAAAAAGTTCCTATTTCTTTTTCGCATTTCCAACACTTATTGTTTTTCAGTTTATAAATTTTTGCGATCTTTGCTGGTGATAGGTGCCATTGGAAAAATATCTTATGTAAATTTTCCCGTAGATACTGAGAGACTGTATATTTATATCCATTTATCCATATTCTTTACCATTGCTCCATTTGGATGGGATAGCCTATATTTTTGGCCCATTTAATCATTGGTTCTTTAACTGTTTCTTCCTCCATCTCGTATTTAGATAATATTCCATAGGGCTTCACAATTATTTTTTCTTTCTCATCAATTAATATCTTTTCTAACTGTTTTTTCCTTCTTCTTTTTGAACCCATATAATTTTTGACCATTATAAATCTTTCATACAATTGTCTATGAGCAAACCAATTTATAGAGTATCCTTCTTCCTGTAATTCTTCTTTAGTTTTCAGAATTAGTTTGGGTCCTTGTTTTTTAAGAATATTTTTTATATTTAATCCAACTTTCTTCTCTGATCATTTCCTTTCTGTAAAAAGCTTAATCAGGGGATATCCAGGTAGGCATTTTTGGTGTAATTCTTCTCTTATATTTGTTCCAAACTTTAATTAGGGCTTTTCTAATACAATTAATTGAAAAGTTTTTATTTTGTCTATCTTTGTTATATGCCAAATATGCATGCCACCCTATCTCACTCCATATCCTTCATATTTTCTTTGATCTTGTTGTAAATCATAAAGGCATGAAAACCAAATCACATATTGTCTCTTTCTAAACTTAAAAGCCTCTCATTTTTTAAGTTGATCCATTCTTCCAACCGTTAGGGAACAAGCATAGTAGTATTTTTTTAAATCCAATAAAGTTAATCCTCCTTTATCTTTTGAATCAATAATAATAATAATAAAATTTATTTATATCCCGCCCTTTGGGAACCCAATCAGGGTGGCTTAAAAGCATAAAAACATATACAATACTCAAACCCAGTACCCTCTCCCCCCTTAAAACAGTATTAAATCAATAGAAATTAAAAATTTACACTTCATTCAATAAAAACAGTACAACAACCAACATATAAACCCAGTGGCAATAATCCTAACCATCCTTAGATGGGGCCACGCAAGGATCACTGGGGTGGGAATACCCGAGGCCGGAATAATTAATCTGGAAAGGCCTGCCAGAAGAGATCCGTCTTGACAGCCCTTTTGAGGCTGTCTAACGATGTTAACTGACGGATCTCATCCAGCAGGTCATTCCAGAGTCTAAGGGCAGCAACTGAAAAAGCCCTCCAGGAGGTAGCCGCAAGCCTCGATAATGGTCCATTTGATTCTTGGTTTTTTTGCCTTGCCACAAAAAAATTTTTATAGCATTATTTCATAATGTAAAACATATTTTGTTATGTATTATTGGTATATTTTGGAAGAAATACATACGTTTGGGCAAGACTTTCATTTTAATTAATGCTACTCTTCCCATAAGGGATATTTGTAACTTGGACCACCTTTGCAAATCTTTTTCAACTCCTTTCCAGACCTTAGTATAATTATTCTCATATAGGTCACCATTCCTTCTTGTTATAATGATACCCAAGCATTTTACCTTTTTCTCTACTTTAAATACTGTTTTTTCTTTTAAGAGTTCTTCTTCTTTTTTAGTCATATTAATGTTAATATTACTGTTTGTCTTGGTTAATTGATAGTGTAATTGGAAAATTATCCATAATTGGTTTCTATATATACAACTATACCAAAGATTCTTAGATAAAAAGGAAGAAAGCTTTGAACATATTAAAACAGAACTAGACAATATTAGAGAGGATTGTAAAGGGTATCATATAGCTAAGTACTATAAAATTTTGAATGAAAGAGACCTATAACAAGAAGCGATAAATCAACTATGATCAAATAGTCTCAAGATGTGGGAAGATCTATAATCTTAGAAGAATGGGAAAAAAGCTGAAAAATCACAAATAGCTTTACTCTTTGCCAGGATCTTAGGGGAAACTATCTGAAAATGTTACATAGATGGTACTTATCCCCCACAAAGTTGATGTTTATATATAAGATCAAAACAGATCAATGCTGGAAATGTCAAACCCATAAAGGCATGTTTTTTTCATATGTGGTGGGAATGTAAAATAGCTGCTTCTTTCTGGAAAGTTATACACCGAACCTTTGCTGAAATTTTTCAATTCCAGCTCCCATTTAAACCTGAACTATATCTACTGAACATAATTACAGGCTTGGATAAAGAGAAAGAAAAGAAATATAGAAGAGTAATTCTACATCTTATCACCTCAGCCCAAATAATATATACCAAATATTGGGGGGAGGCAGAAGAAAAGCCAA